CTAGGGCTCTACGCACAATGAATTCATACACTACACAATACCTTGAAGACTTTGCAGCCTTACTCATGCATAATCATTTCTCGTTGAGAGAGTTTTTTTTTTTTTTTGGGGGGGGGGGGGAGTTAGTCATGGTAATTGGATATGAAATGGTGGCAGATGGGATAATAGAGTATTATAAATGAATAAGAATGTGTAAATGAGAATAACATACCCGGGGACTATTCTGTACTTTAATCCACTATCCCTTCAGCTCTCCAACTTTGTGCCCACGCCTTTTACTCCTCAATTTTTCTATCTGCTCCCTCCTTTCTTGCTCTCATTTTTATAGATCAAATTAGGGTTTTTCTCCCATTTGATAACCCAATCAATCATAATTATATCAAATTAAATCATTAATAATTTTCATTTGATTTTAGCCTTAATTAAGTTAAATTTAATGGGAACATAATTAATTGAGGAGATTTGGGGTTGATAAAAAGGGAATATTAATTTTTTTTAAATCACAAAAACTCTTTTTGTTCCTTTTTTTATTTATTTCATTTATTTAATTTTATTATGCTTTTTTAATTTTAATTTACATTTGGTAGCTTGAACAAAATGCAATATTCAGAATAATTAAATCATAAAAATTTACATTTGGTAGTTTGAATAATATTTAATTTTTTAAATCAAAAAAACTCTTTTTGTTCCTTTTTTTATTTATTTCATTTATTTAATTTTATTATGCTTTTTTAATTTTAATTTACATTTGGTAGCTTGAACAAAATGCAATATTCACAATAATTACAACTATAATTTTAATATTTTCTTAAATTTATCAAATTGTATACTTATGTATGTATGTATGTATGTATGTAAGTGACGACAACTTGTATTCTTTTTTAGGTATTTTTACTAGTCCATATTATTTTTAATTATTATATATTTAAACATGCTTTTTAATTATATCATATAAATAAATTTTAATTTGTCAAATTGATTTTTAAGAGAAACATATTCAAACACAAATTATATAACAATAACTTAATTAGAAGAAACGCACTGCAAGCCTTAAAAATAGAGAAAATTGTACTGTAGGCCCAAAAATTTTTGATAATGCACTATAAGCCTAAAGGCCTTTGTTGCAATTTTTCTTGCGAGTAAAAGTATAATTTTGTCTTTATGTAATTTAAAAATTCAGAGTTTATATAACACAATGTCTATGGGTGTATAACACAATGTTAATGAATTCTTTACACAATTTCTATATGTGGTCATTAAGTTATAGGTTAATTAAAATATATAAGTCAAGCAGAGCATGTACAACGTAGTATTCATAGGTGCATAACATAATGTTCATGAATTCTCAATACAATGTCCATGCATATCTAGTTAATCTATAAGTTAATTAACCATATGTGGCCAATTGATCTATAGGTTAACTAAACTATACAAGTCATGCCACGTACAACACAATGTCCATGAATGCACAATATGATGTTTATAAATTCTTAACACAATGTCCATATGTGTTCAATTGATCTATAGGTTAACTAAAATATATAAGTCATGTAGAGCATATATAATACAATGTCCATGAGTGCACAATACTATGTTCATGAATTTTCAATGCAATATCCATGTTTGCTCAGTTAATCTATAGGTTAATTAAAATATATAAGTCACGTAAAGTATGTATAACATAATGTTTATGGGTGCATAACACAATGTTCATGCATTCTCAACTAAATGTCCATGCATGGACATACATGGACATTATATTAAAAATTTATGAACATTGTATTGAGAATTTATAAATATCGTGTGGTGTATCTATGGATATTGTATTGTACATACTCTATATGACTTATATATTTTAATTAACCTATAAATCAACTAGGCAAGCATGAATACTATGTTGAGAATTCATGAACATTGTGTTGTACATCTATAGACATTATGTTTGTACATGCTCTATGTGACTTGTATATTTTAATTACATATCGACTAGACGCACGTGAATATTGTGTTAATAATTCATGAGTATCGTGTTGTGCTTTGTGAACAAGGGTTTTGCATAAGTTTTAAATCTTCAAATCATACAAGGTTAAAATTATACTTTCACTCTCAAGAAAAATTGCAACAAAAACCCTTAGGTCAAACTGCAATTTTCTGTCATTTTAAGGCCTACAGTGCGATTCTCACAACTTAATTTCATCCCAACTTTGACTTGCAAACTGTAGTTTGTATAGAATGTAGTTATGCGAACGTTAATCCAAACCATCTCTGGTCTACCCGCATCTCTCAAGTCGCGAAACTAGGAGACTCTGGGGTTTCCATTATAGCGCAAGACAAGCTTTGGTGGATTCCTGTTCCTTTCTCTCCAAATTTGTGCTGAAACCCGTATGGACGCCGGCGGCTTAGATTCCAATGGTCATGACTTCAAGACCGCAGATTAGATGTGGCGGTAACAAGCAGGTGATCCCGACAAGAAAACTGAGTGGTATCGTCATGGAATTGGCAATTGGGAGGTACCGTGTGTGCTCTCCAATTCTCATATCTATACTCCCCAAATTAAAAGTGTGTTTAGGAGTAATTTTAAAAGAATGATCATTACTGAAATGGCATGGAATGAAGTGAAATTAAGCAGAATAAAACAAAATTTTTTATTATTTGGGACTTTTATGATGGGAAGGAATGGTTTTATATGATTATTGTTTGAGAGTTATCATAAAATGGATGAAACAAAATGGATTAAAATATTTTCCTTCTAATATTACCCATATAACTAAATTTAAAGAAAATAATAAGGGAAAATATCATTTAAGGACCGTTGAAGAAAATTTATATCAGTCAATGATTACTTATTATTAAAACTTAAATGGATACTTGTTAATTCGGGTTAGTCTTTTACCAACAAGTATCTATTCAAGTTTTAATAATAATTTATTTTAAATTAATAATAGTCCATTCAAACTTTTTTTTTTTTGAATTTTCACAACAACTAGTCATTGATTAATATAAACTTTCTCTAGTGGTCCGTCATCACTATTTTCCCATATAATAGTGCCCATTAAATAATTATGATATTTGTCCAACAAAATAATAATAATAATTAAGATTAATAGTTAAACAAGATACTTAAAAATTAATAATAAAAAGAGAAAGCAAGTAACAGAGCTACTCAAGCAAACATACTTATTGCACAAAAGGAAAACACTATAGAGATGTAGTGTTGAAGGGGGGGAGAGATGACAAGAGCAAGAGAGATGTGGTAGAAGGTAAAGCTATATGCTATGCTTGAATGCCCATCAGCCAGCCTTGCACAAAGCATTCAGGCACATCAAGCTAGGCTAGGCAGGGTTTTATGTGCAAGTTTTTTTTTTAATTTTTGGTGAATAATATTTATGTTATAGATTTATTGTTTTGTTAAAATTTATCATGAATTATATTATTTTTATGATCTTTTAGACATTTGTTATCATTACAATTTTTAAATCTCTTTCAAAATTTAAAATTTATTTTTAACTTATTATTATATAGAAATAATTAGCAAATGTTGTTCATTTAAACTTTTAAAAAATTACTTTTGGTTTTAATATTAGTTTTATGAAGAATATATTTTAAATAATAATAATAATATTTTTAAGGAAAACTTTTTTATATATTTTTTTAAAAAAATACTTGTAAAAATATTTTTGAGTCAATCAAGCCAGCCTAATGCCCAACTGCATATCGGGCTAGACATCAAGCAGGAGTGATGCCCAATCCAACCTTGCTCATGTGTAGCTCTAGTGGGAGGTGAGAGAGATGGATGAAAAAAGAAAATAATAGATAAGATTTTTTTTATATTAGGATAAGAAACTGGGGGTAATCTTGTAAATGAAATAATTATATTATATCACTTCATCTTTAACCCTCCAATTTAAGGAAACAAAAAAAAATTGAGTTATGAATGGCACAGAAAGGTTTTAAAGGTCCTTCCTCGTCATTTCATCTCCTTCTATAAATAAATTCACAAACAATGACTTAAATTTTTTAGCCATCTCACTCTATTCTATTCCTTAAAAAAAAAAAAAAATCTTCCAAACGTAGTATAAGTTCCAACGTTGGGTTCAGTCGCTCTCCGATTTTGTGATTGAAATTGTTTGCTGTAGGTCTCTGTCTGCCTCAAGAAATTAAAGAAGTAACATATACTTGTGGGGAAGGGGAGAATTTTTAGTCAGTCGAGGATAAGCTAAGGAATTGTGGAAGGAAACAAGCAATGAATACTAGCAGTGACAAGTTGTCTGGTTTCACTTGATAATGCAATAATAGCGTCTCCTAAGCATTATTTTTTGTTTGTTAGAATAGGGTGTGGAGGCGTCAATGGACGGCGTATTGGGAGGATTTGCAAATGTGAACGAACCTCATGTAAATGATAGTGAGGCTTTCCTGAAAAGTCCTCTCTGAGAGTTCTAATTTTTTATTTTATTTTACTTTGCTTTTCTTGTTTAAACTATCATGTACACTTGTTTTGGCCAGTGGAAGGGATATAAAGCTTTTTTCCTTTTTTTTTTTTTTTGGGAGGGGGGGGGGGCTGTATCCTATGGTGTCCTTGGTTAGAATGGAATGTGATAGTGTCTAGTCTTTCTACACCATCATACAAAATGATGGTGTCTAGTCTTTAACAGCGTTGCAGTTTAGATTGTCGCCGCGACAAATGAAAAGATTATCAAATAAAGTTGAACAGGTCCACATTTGATATGCTTTTTGAGGACTGTGCACGTAAGCTATCCCCTTATTCTGAAGTATTATTTTTCAATGCATATATAATTTTAGGAAAAAATAACAGTTTATTTCTTCATATTTTAATTTATTTAAAATTCAGTTTTTTTAACTATGATTCATACTTTCACACGTGCAAAACTACCGTTAATAAATTATTTTTGTTCTTTCTCGAGTAATCTGATGTGGCACGAATGATCCTTAGCAAAATTAAAATTGCCCCAACTCTGCTCCATGTAAGACTCCAGACTCCACATCAGAAGGGGGGGGGGGGGGAGCATGTATGGAGATTGCCCCAAAAAGAAGAAGGCAATGAGCGAGACCAATAAGAACGACCAAGAGCGAGATGGCCGAGGAAACAAACGAGATCAGTGACAAGCGGCCGACAGGCTGGGGATCTCTACCGTTTCTGGTGAACTTTCTCCTCCATTCTCATCATTTACCTTCTTTGTTCTTCCCTGTCAGAAACCACAACTGCTGATAAACAAACAAAATGGCAGATCAATATATCGCAAATCGATATGGCTCATTGGAAAGCTTTATTTTTCCTTTTTTTCTTCTGGATCTTTTTTTTTTAATTGAATTTGTGAGAGATCCAGTCCAGTCCTTCTACATGGATCTAGGCTTCCTTCTCCGTTGATCTCGTTCATCATTCCAGATGTGGGTTTCGTTCTCCCGTCAAACTGGATTGCCATTCACGAGCTTGTTTTGATTCCTTCTCACCTTTCAAGTTTCCTTCTGCTCTTCTTTTCTTCTGTGTCAATCCATTCTTATACATTTCTATTCTTCTCCCTTGATCTATTTTATGCTCTTGGATTCTTCTTCAAGACTGTTCCCCATCCTTCGTTTAATTGTAACCTCATTATTGGTTCATTTCCTTGTGAAGCTTTGCTAATCAGTCACAGGGGTAACCGATTAGTAAGCAATTAATGCTTCAACATTTAAACCTTGCATGATCACTTCAAAGTTCAAACTTTCCTGACCTTCCTCTTTGTCCGTCCTCTACAGCACTAGCCTTTTAAATAAATATATATATATATATATATATAAGCCACATGCAGCTGAGGTGGAAGCCAATGTCAACAATTTCAACAGTGTTATTAACGATTTTTGCCACATAGGATAACTTAGATGTGAGTTTTGAATGACAAGGACAAAATTATAAAATGTTGGAAAGATTGAGAATTGAGTTGTGAGTCAAAACTTTAATGGCTGAATCGCATTCATATTTGAGGGACTGAGTCATAATCAAATTAACACTTGAAGTAGTGAAGGACTAAAAGATTAATTTTCTCATAATTTTATTATTATATTAATAAGTAATAGTACACTATTGTATCAGTTTCATGAACTTCTCTGAATTTGTTGTATCATCTTGTAATATTTGTATCAATGAATCCTGGGTGAGACATGCATGCTAGTTTTTCAAAATGTTATCATTAAGTTGTCTTGTACTGCCTCTAATATATTTCACTGCAATTTTTTTTTTTTGTATATTTAATTGATATCTACTAGTTTTAAATTCATCCTAGATGTTATAATGATCTTTTAAGTCAGTAAAATTTTTTATTTTCTCTGGTTTCCCCAATTTAAATTTCAGATTGACCTCCTTGAGCCAGTATCTCATTTCGTAGAGGCTGTACGTGAAACTTTGACTTCTGGAAATCAGATGGATTCAGATATCCACAAAGCAGTTAACTTTTATTGTGTGCCTCTTCAGGTACACTGTTAGATGTCTAATTCACTTGTATGCGAATGTAGTGAGTGACTTTCCTTTATTAGGTAGTAAATTCAAAATCATGTTTTTCAATATTTTCTCGTGCTGCTTCTTTTAAAACCAAATATTTTTGGTTATTTTCATTTTATCAGTGGGAATCCTTGAAGATAATGTCAGGAATACACACTGACACTTCCTTTTCGCATTGCTATTTGACTTGCCCTAGCTAAAGGTATTTTGAAACATGCTGAAGCATTTTGAAATGACATAAAACTATGTCAAAGTGCTGAGGATACAAAATGATGTTGTTTTGGTCAGTTTCTGCCCACCTTTAATGCCCTAAAATAAAATGCAAGTTATAGAGTATTTATGGTACCATGGAATAGAACAAAGAGGAGGAAATGGAAGAGGATGAAAAATATGAAAGCTATGCATGCACTAAAAATGGTGTAACAACTGAGTGCAGTAACAGCAGAAAAGGAATGGAACATGACCAACAGAACAGCAAACAAACTTGCAAACCACAAATGGGAATGGCAAAGCACATCCATGCATCCTTGACTGCAGCCCAACATAGCAGATGACCTACGTATAACCATCCAAAAAAAAAAAAACTTAAGTGATAAGGTAGATTTTTTTTTTCTTTTTTGGGGCAACTCTCAACTGGTTGGTGGGGAATTTTGAGGGCTGACACCCCTTTTTTGCTGTTGAATGCCATCAGTTGCCTTTAATTTCTCATTTAGGCCTTCTCTAATACCATTACTTGGTTATGTTACTTGCCTTCACTTATTGAGATTTCTTGCTTCCGTTTTAGGATTTTACACCAGATACTCAAATACATGATATAATATGGATCCAGTGGTGCATTGGTCATCTTACAGACGAAGACTTTGTGTCTTTTTTCAAAAGGGCAATAGTAAATTATGCTTTATTTGAATTAATAGTCAATATGGCATGGGATGATATTACTGAAGGGGAGGGAGATTCTTCCCCCTTTTCATTCAAGAATGGGAGTATATATAGTATAGATAGAAAGGGTGGAGAGAAACTTAATAGTAGTCTTAATTCTGAATTCTAGACTTCTTTTTTTTTTTTTTTTTGGGGGGGGGGGAATCTGAATTCCAGACTTTGGTATTGAAGTATGTTGCAGTCCATCAATATCCCAACAAAGACAAACTAATCCCTAACCTTTTAAATTTGAATGTGTTTGTGTATTACTAAGTATCATTACGTGCTCATTTTCTGATGGAACTGAAAAATGTCATTTGTAGGTTGGCCTCAAACCAGGTGGTTTTGTTGTCCTTAAGGAGAATAGCAAGAAAGGGCATTATGCTCTTGTTGCTAATTTATCTTTCCGACTGTGTTGATTATATTATTTCATGCACTTCATGAACTAAAAGAATTTTCAGCTTGGCCAGCATTTTGGGAATTCGGAGCCTTAGACTTGAAAATTACTAGTCTTTTAACTTCTCATTATTCTGCTCCTGCAAGTCCTCATATACGGAGGGTGGAGCCCTAGAAATAACCCATTTTATATTTGGATTGGATCAATATATTTGAGTTTACTTATAAGACAGTGCTGCAAAATAAAATAGTTTTACAACAAAGGTCAAGGGTTGAACTAAGGGTCAAACTAGAGCTAGACCGGTCATGATAAAAATAATATAATTTAAATAAAAAGATATTAATCTTCAAAACATTCATCCATATGTCTCATACAAGATACAAAAGTAATTCTAACAATAATAAAATACAACAACATTCAGAATAAGCTATCATCCTTATAAAAAGTCTAAAACTAATAAGCACCAACATCAAAATCATCATTAACTTAATTCAAATCCTCTTATTGGCACACTTCTCCTAGGGACTGTCTTAATTGGAGTTGGACTTTTATTATTAGTTTCAAGTTCTCTGATGTGTTCTTATATCAACAAGCTTCCTTTTTTTCCCAACTTGCAAAGACTATCATCCTATGACATACATCATGAGGAACTTTCATATAAGAAACTACTTGACCAATGACACCGGGAAGATGTTGCTTCAATCTATTTATCTCACCTCCTCGATAGCTTGATACACATTTTGTTTTCCCTCTTTTTTAAAGGCAACATGTGCCCATGTAGGATTAGTTTTCCCATGAACCGATTAGGCCCTAGATGTTGAGTTATTACCATTAGACTAGAAGGGGGATTATTAGAATTGGGGCCATGATTCTCATTTCTATCACTATTGAGATTACTTCCGTTATCCATGTTCAATGACTAAGACTTTGTTTTGCAAGCTAAAATAATTTTAAGTATCATTGAACTAATCCGAGCAAACAATCCAATCAGCAATCCCACAGTGCGAACGAAAAAAGCTTGAAAACATAAAGATAAAAGACAATAAAGAAACTAAAGAGAGACAAATGCAATGCAAAAGTTAGATCCAAATAGATTCCCAGATTAATTGAAGTTTGATCCAAACAAAGCTTGGTCACACATAAGCAGAAATCGAGCGGAATAACATTATTATTATCAGAGTGATTTTTAGCAAAAATGATCAATGACTCAGTGAAATATGGGAGGAGCACGATGATGGAGTTGAATGAGGGGCGAGCAGCAGATGACAGGATTTGGAAGTCAGATATAGAGACAACAACAAAGAGATGAGATTGATTTCAGAGAGACAGACGCACAAGCAGCACTGCAGCAGCGAACACCCATGAGTCTTTAGAGATGGCATTGATTTTAGAGGCCAAGAGACAGAGACAGAAGCAGCAGCAAACGGAAGAACATTTCTGAATTTGGGGTTTTGTTCAGGGTAGAAGCCAAGCCGTATTTGTCGATTTTAGAGGCTAAGATGCAGCTGCTTTTTTCCTTTTTAAAACCCCAAATGATGTTGTTTTGGGGGCCAGGTGGGAAAAAAGACTTGTTCAACCCACCTAACCCGTTGGGTTGAACGAGTTATCTAGATTAATCTAGGTCATATCATACCCTTGGTTTACTTCATCAACCAAACCGGCCAAGTGACTAGTTCACTAGGTTACCATGATTGGCTGGTCTAGTTTTACATTCCATGATTTACAAATTAACATGTCATTTTCACTAGACCTGATCAAGATAACCACATAATTAAAACTTGCGAGTGTCCCATGCAAAGCATAGAATTTGAGAAAAGAGCTACACTATTTATAGCTCATGAATAAAATAGCTTTTTTACATTTGTTTTGTATCTTATTCAATCTCTAAATTCTGTACAATGGTTTTTTTCAATCTGTGTAGATTGATAATTGTTTGAAAGTTTTACCCCATGCTCAACCTCTCAAATTAAAGTATTAAACATCATCCCTCAATAAAACACACGCACACAATATGCATGCATTTTTCCCTTGGTTTAGCTGTCTATAATTAAGATCTTGTAGGGACTGGCTTTACTGTTTGGATGTATCTTTGTTTTCATCCTTTCCAGGATTTGTGCTTGAGAATGACGATCAAAGCATTGCAAGATTTGATCTATACTTTAAAGAACTCTTTGCTAGATGTGGATTGCATATTTTTAAAATAAAGATAAATTAGTGCTGGTTCATATGGAAGCCTAAAGGGCTTCATCTTGCTTGGATCTTGCATGAATCGCTGATACTTTAAAATTTCAGTATTATTATCTTTGATATATATATATATATATATATTTGACACTCAAATTGGCTGCAACACTTCAAACTAATGTCAATCCCATATGAAAAATGCACATAACTTGCAGCATTGCTTAGAAACTGCACACAAAAAGTGCAAGGGTTGCACTGAAATTGTACACAGATTGTGAGAAAAATTAAATTGTCAAAACAACTATACTTATTAGTACTATTAAACTAGCTTAAGCTTCTAATTTCTTCCATTAGGCACTTTTAAGTTCTATATATCTTTCACAAACTTCCTATCACTTCTGCTAACCCCATTAACCTCAATATAGGGTTTTGCACAATTCAAACCTTTCCTCTTAAGGCTAAAATTATATCAAAGCCTCAAAACTCCATCATCAACTACCAAACTGGTTACAAATGCTTAATTCAACTTTTAATAACCCTTTAGCTGTCATTGGGACCCGTAACAACCCCTTTCTATCTTAGAATACAATTTCTCCACATCTCAAACCAAGTGAAAATAGGGTAGAGCAAGAGGGGAAAGGATATAAAGCTTACTCAATAGGCAACAGAGCAGAACTAACTTCTAGTTGCCCGAGATCTCATGCCTTAGTAGAGCAAGCTTCTTCCTCCTTTCTCCGTCATTCTTTTCTTTTTCTCCTCTCAAAATCACAGGCTAATCAATGAATTTAAAGTCAAATTTTTTATCCATGCATCGCGGCATGTGACACAGTGAGACATTTCTAACTTTAGCTCTCCCACTCGATCCTAGTTAGCTCTACTTCCATCCAATCTTGATTATGCGACTACTAAAGGAACCAAAATGTCAATACAACCCAGAAATATGATTGACTTAATTAATCCATTAATTTATTAATTTACTCTTAAATTGGTATTTAGCTTCTAGATTAAAACTCGGGATGTTACATGTTAGGGCTCTCTAATCACCCACACGCCATTTACCTTGTTAATTTACTTAATTATCCTTATTTAACTTGATTAATCAGGGTTAATTTTCATGATTTACAACTGGAAACTCAAACGAGATGAATGTAGCTTGACTGGGATTTACATTAACTGATTTTATCTTCTCAAAGATATCCATAGCTTTGACAACGAGACCTTGGTGTGCATAACCCATGATCATGGTGTTATATATAACATCATATAAGTTGAAAGACTGGTCAAAAGCCACTTGCATCCTCTATGTCTGAGCATTTTGCATAGGCATCTGCTAGAGCACTTGCAAAAAATGGATACACACAACATCCCAATTTATAACTAAATCATGAAAAGATTTCACCTGTCGATAAGCTGCAACACTAGCACTACTATTTAAAATGCTGGCCAAATTAAAATCATCAGGCCTTTCACCAGCTTTCACAAGCAGTTGTAAAAAATTGATAGCTTCATGATTAAGGCCTTGGTGAACCAGTGAAGAAATCATGGTTCCCCAAGAAAATTAATCTAATTTCTCAGGTTCACTGAAAAACTCGTAGCAATCATCTAGCATCCCAAAGGTACTATAACATTTAATTAATGAACTGCAAACATAGTCATGAGAGTGGAATCCAGATTTAAGGAGGTCACAATGAAGTTGTCTGCCACCCTCTTGGTTTTCAGATCTGAAACAGGCTTCTAGAGTGTTTGAGTAGGTGTATTCATCTGTTTCAAAACACAATACTCGTAGATCATTGAAGTTTTTTATTCCTTATTCGTAAAAACCATTTATAATATATCTAGAAGTTTTTTGTTCCTTCTTCGTAAAGTATTTATGTTAATAAAAGATGCAGTGTAAAACGCAGTGTATGCCATATCCATTTTCCTACATCCAGAGAACACACTGATTTGCTGAATTTATAATGCTGACTTCATCAAATAATCCACCATGTAAGGAAACACAATAGAACTGAAGCCCAAGGTTGAGATTATGCAACTCTCCACATTTTCTAAGCAATACTGTAAAAGTGACATTATTAGGCTCCCTACCTATTATCATTAGATTATGATGTAAAGAAACAAGTTCTCTTGCATTTCCATTCTGAGAAAAGCCTGAACATACAGTGTTCCCTGAGATAATGTCTTTCTCTTGAATCCAATTAAAAACCCTCAAAGCAGAGTCGTCAATCCTCACCACCGTTTTTAAAGTACACATCCATAAGAGCATTCATTATGGAAGTAACACTTTCCACTTTACTTTGAATAATGAATTTGTTTTACGCATTGCAAAGTTCCCATACTTGAACATCCCCTGACAGCATTTATAAAGGTATATTCGTCCATTTTCAAACCTTTATATGGCATCAATGTCAGCAACTGCAAGGCTTTAAAGTCACGTTTACATTTGATATATCCTCCAATCATAGCGTTCCAACAACCAGCATCTAGGTTTTTCATGCAATGAAAAACCAATTCAGCAGATTCAATATCCTTTAACTCAACATACATGTTAAGAATTGATGTGCTTACAAATGGATTCTGCTCTACCCCAATTTTCAAAGCAGAACAGTGAATGGCTACAACAAGTGTGTGCACTCCCAGACTAGCACATGCCTTCATCACACTGCCAAGAGCAAACTCATTCGGCCTCAGCCCAGTTCGTAACATTTCCAAATAAATTTTTAAACCTAATTCAAAAT